ATGCTATTGAACCTTCAACCACTTCACATTGTTCTCAAGATCGGACAATAAGCAGTTCCAACTATGGTGGTTATACAATTATGATTATGAAATAGCTTCCACATGACCTAAACTTATAAGATCCGTTTGGAGCATAAGATTTACGGGATTTTGAAACAGCGGTAGTATAATTACATTACTGCATTTGCTTTAGCAGATGAGTTGTGTTATACAATCACTACCATCACTAACCTTTTAATAGCACAAAACATTGAAACATCATATACATGTAGACATCCAATGTACAAAAATAGCCAAGTTTGTGCAGGTATCATGTACCACAAATAACCATACAATCATTACTACTTCAAAACACACATGAAGTAGGCAAAAACATAGAGACCAAGCACCATACATTTTAGTTCCAAAATGGAGTAGGTACAAATGTAACATAATCCAACTACCCTTCTGCTCCCACACACCATAATTGTGTAACATAAACCAAATCAAGGGAGAATGTTTAAGAAAAACGAAAGGTAATTGATAGAGTATATAGACTCGGACCCCCGGGTCTCACGACTATTGGGCCCGGACAGCGGCCCACATACGCTCAGTAGATAGCATTTATCTCATTGTACACTCTATTTTATTCATGTATATCCATTAGAACAGATTAGATATCATTTATTAGCCATTTATTGGCCTTTTATTGTAACTGGGCCAGCCAGGCCCAAGCCTGGAAGCCCAACCCTCTTTTCTCCTATAAATACTCCCTATGGGAGCCATGTAAAGGATTGGATGGTTGATTGGAATTCATTATACATATCACTTTATCTCTCTAGCTCTCCCTTCTCTCTAGAATTAAATAATCTATCAATAATATACAAACAAAAACAATGCATTCATTTCTTGCAGGTATCAACGACTACACTACACTTCAGGGCCTTCTTCCATGCAGTCAAACAAAGTATTGAATCTCTCTCTAGTGGTTGTGGACACCCTAGTAGCATTCAATCCTGTAGCTTTTCTTTTTCTTGAATTGGAATAAAAAAAACTTAAGGAATGTAGCCTGTTTTTAACCAAACTACTCTGCCCACAAAAACATAAAACCAAACACTACTCTCATGGGTTTTATACCTCCAAATCAGCAGAAGTTATGGAGCTTTGGCCCCTCCGCTGAAATACATGATCAGTTGGTCTCTCATCTCTATCTTCATTTTAAGTGAAATTTGCGCACAATGTCTTATCCTCTACATTGGGTGGGTGGGGGTCCAGAAGAACTTTCAGTTGCCTACCAACAAAAAAATCATTTAGTCCTTTACAAGCACACATTTACATTAACACTGTTGTATCCCCTTGCAAGATTTGGTCTTTGGAGGGACACCCTTTTTTGTAATGGCCTTTTTTGAAACACGGCTGGCAGGGAGTGCTTGTTCCTCTATTGGGTAACTTTCCACTCCTAGGGATCACACCTATTTGTTTGATTCTATTTTTCCTTGGCCTCCGCATTTCTTTTTTTTCTTCAACTGAGCAGACAAAGCTTCAACATTTTTTTAGGCCAGAAAAGAGGCCCAACAATGAGTGTCATCATTTCAGCATATGTATGGGAGTACATGTGTTTCTTATACCACTGGGATATATAATGTTCTATTCTATGGCCTTTATCCCTAATGGCACACATGGCGTGTTCGCAAGGAATTCCAGACACATCTCATTGCTCACACAAACAACTGTTGTTCTCCAAATCCACTTGATAAGTGTCTGACCTACATGAGACCTCATATCCATCATAGCCATTAAACAACACCCTTCAATTATTACTTGCCACAACAATTTTATTTACCCTCCTCCTTATTCTAGGACCTAACTCCCCAACCCATTTGTCACCTATATTCTTATTCTTTATAAGCTTCTGCATCACCAGCTTCCTTATGTATTCCAACTAAGTATACCCAAACAAAGATCTAGCAGGAGTAATCACCCCATTAAAAGTCTCACACAGATTGTTATCAACAATTTCACATTTTATACTTCTATTAAAGAAAGCTCTGCACCAAAACTTAGGATCTACCTTGAGAATATCTTCATGAGCAGTTCGAGAAAGAACTTTTAGTACCTCAAGATTCTGCTCAGATTATCTTTTAAAGGCATATTTGTAGCACTTCCAAAACTACCTTTGTAGCATCAGACTACGATGAGTTCTTCTCCAAATGGCATATATGTGCCTAACATATCTTCTATGTTCAACATCAGGTAAATATTAAATAAGTTTGTATTAGGATATTGGTTATATGAGAGACAAAATGCCAAATAGTCAAAAGTTAGTGGCACCTTTTGTTAATATGAAACAAAAGCTCATCCAGTGCCTCTTCCAATGTTTAGATATCTTAAGTTCTCCGGAAATCACTTCCAAGTGGCTTTGGTCTACGAAGCAACAACAACCCACACAATTGGGAACATTTGATTGCTTGCATCCCTTGCAAATGCTGTGAGAATTTCACCCTTGATCTCAGACTTCAACAATGCCTGATCTATTCCTATGAGTCTCTTGTACCCCTCCAGGAACTCCTTCTTGCAGGCATGGAAGCACACATAAAGCCTGTCAAATACAAGGCTAGGCTACAACAGGGTGAGGATGCAGGTATTCCCCTGGTTTGACCTTAGAATTTCAGCTTTATATCAATCCAAGTTTTTGTACTGAACCTTTATGTCTCCCTTTTCGAGTTTTCTAATCAATGACTTAGCCTTCCTCATTTTCTCAAGAGAAACGTCACAATTTAGCTCTTTCTTAACCATCTCTTTCATTGAAGCCACCTTCATGTCAGCTACACCGGGCTTAGAGCAGAAAAAATTCTTCACTAACCATTTGGTTGTGGCACTAGGTATTTGTCAGCCCGGGTTGCAAGTGTGTTCACTGTTATAGTTTTTAGGGCCCAGTTCTTACTGTTGCTTCTATTGTTTATGCCAAAGTAGGTCATGCAAGTACATGTTTTGTTTAAATTAGAAGACTTAGCCCTAAGCACGTACGAACAATTTTTTAGCCCAATAGTAGGGATACATGTTAGTCACAGAAAATTTATCCATTGCATCTTTAACTTAAGCCTTCAACTCAAAGCTCATTCCCAATGTGAACTCAACCTTGTCAGTTGGTATGAAACTTGGGAATCTAGATTTTTTGCTAACAATCCCTTCTTCTTCAGCATCTGATTTGGATTTGTAACTCCCTTCATCAGTTGAACTGAAATATTCAGTTTCATTGCCATCTTCCTCCCCAGTCAACTGTTCTTTAATTATGTTTTTGTTATCTTATTTCTGCCCATCACCTCTGGCACCAGTCTTTTCTTTTGTTACTAGCTTCCTCAGTAGAACTCGATCTTGTTGTAACTCTTCATCATCTTCATTTTTTGAGTTTACTTCTTCAAATAAAAGGCTAGTTTCTGCCTCAAGAAGGGGATCTTGAAATCCCAAATCAACAACAAAAGGCATGTGCATAACACTGTCACATTCCGAGTTAGCATTTGGAGTCCCTCTTTGGTCATAACTATCCATTGGTTATCTATTCAAAATAAATGAATAATCAATTAACCAACAATAATAAAAGGACAAATATAACAAATATCTTAGGAGATAACCTATATGTTAAAGTTTAAAGTAAATGTTTTTACCAAAGACATGTACTTAGGACAAATATTCAGAACACTTTACTCATACAACCACCAATTTTGAAAAAGACAATGTGCATTGAAGTCATATACATAACCTTCCACCTATCAATTGCTAATAACTTCTACATAATACAGAAGGCTATACACATACATACGCCATTAATGATGCATATGTAATACAGTAGCATACCTTTGTTTCGATTATGGCTTCTGTTGTTTTTTTACTCATCACATGTACCATTAGCCACCTCAGCAAAGGTAACGTTGCAATCTAAGTGATGTACTGCTTTAGCACTAATTCGACGATTATATGTACCACCACATTTGACTTGCAAGATGAAGTACTCTTTACTCCACACAGTGCAAGTTCATGTACTGAACTGACCGTTTTCTTGACATACATTTGCAATAACTTAAATCATATTTTTTCGGGAAAACTGTCAAATAGGTTCTCGAACTTTCATAAAAAGGCCAAATAAGTCCTTATATAGGAGGCTCTGTCCGGCCGCCGCGATTTGGGGCGGTTCCCGGTGGAATTTTTTGATTGAATTTTTTGAGCATCTTATTCATCAAGTCTAGTTTACTCATACCAAATTTTAGCTAAAACTTTAATCGAGAACACATTCAAATTAATTCTTGAAGATAACTGCGCATTTAAATCGCGATGGCCGGACAGAGCCTCCTATATAAGGACTTATTTGACCTTTTTATGAAAGTTTGAGGACCTATTTGATATTTTTCCCATTAATTTGTCCATTAATTTTGTTTAAGTAATATTTGAGAAAAAACTCTTAAGAAAATTAGAAATATAAAGTCATGGTTAATTAATTCATTATTGGTCATGTATATTATACATAATAAACATTTTTTTTATCGTACATAATAAACATTTTGAAATATCAAAATATCTTTACAGGTAATCCTAAAATCATCTAATACGCTAAATGATAAATTTGAAAATGAATTAGAAAATCATATTCTCAAATTTCACACCTAACCACATCTAAGGGTTGGTTTGCAGCTGCTTTTAAAAAAGCACTTCTCAGCTTTTGGCTTTAAAAAAGCACTTATTTTTCCAAACACTACAACTTTTATTTTTCTCGGCTTCCGCGTCAAAAGTGTTTTTACTTTTTCTATTACACAAAAAGCACTTATTTTACCAAACACTACCCACTTTTACTTTTCAAAATCACTTTTTTCTCAAACACTATCAACTTTTATTTAATCACTTCTCCCCATTTCATTAAAAAAAACACTTTTTTAAAAGCAGAAGCTGTTGCAAACAGACCCTAAGAGACTTGGTTAATACTCTATTGCACATAATTTTTAATTTACACATATATCATAAAAGTGCATTATTAGTATTTAGTAGGCACATGCAGCTTCTTGTTCGAAGTTAACTGGATTTGAAATTGGCATGCAGCCTCTTGGAAGGCTTCAAGGAGATAGCACTTTTGGATACTTGGAATGGGAAGGCTACTATATGGGTGAGGTCGTCGGGAGGATTTGGCCAAAATAAATCTATGATGATGCTAATTGCCAAGTGTGTTCAGCTAATCACATCCCAATTTCTTTTTTAAATTTACATTTTAAGGTCCCACATTTCAGTGTACTAGTCGACATACGAAATACGTTATAATCTGGTGACCGCTTGCGGTCTGTGGACAATCCCCCCTTGAAGCTTCTTGGAATTGGTTGGTCTACTTTGAATGGTTGACAAACTCCATCAGGCTCATTCATCATTATTACCTTTGCTGTTTGCTTCTGGGGTGGAGGTGTTCAACCCTTCAGCATCTTTCTGTTGTGATTTATTCTTTTTTCTATGAGAATATTTGGCAAAGGCAGCTGAGAGTGCCGTCTTGATTGTTATGTCAGGTTCCTTGTTTCTGTGCATCTTCACATCTTCTACTTCTATCTCGTCTTTGTCCCCTTGAGTGACAGAGCTTGGCCCCGTATTTTCATTAGCAGCCACTTCAGGAACTGCATGTTTAGACACTTCACGCTGGAAGGGTTCATGGAAAGTATCATATAGGCGTTTTACCTGCACATAATTGAAGGCTAGTGAGGTTGTAACATACAAGGTGCACAGTTATTCCAAAATTCCAATGAATACAAAGCAAAATGAGACCCATCAAGACATAATTCAATGTACTGTGTCACTAACAAGCTTATGTTTGTACTTAGTATTATTGCCAAAACGATCTCAGAGTATTAAAATAAATAAAAGCAATTGCAGAGAGTCATTTTTATTTGAGAAAAGGTGCAAATAAGGGCCACGTACTAACCAAAAAAGGTCAAATAAGGACTTATTTAAGAGGTTCTGTCCGGCCGTCGTCATTTGGGGTGGTTCCCGGTCGAATTTTTTGATGAAATTTTTTGAGCATCTTATTCAGTAAGTCTAGTTTACTCATACCAAATTTCAGCTAAAACTTCAATCGGGAAGGCATTCAAATGAATTCTTGAAGATCACTGCGCAGTTAAAAGCGCAGTTATCTTCCAACATTCATTTGAATACCTTCCCGATTGAATTGTTAGCTGAAATTTGGTATGAGTAAACTAGACTTAATGAATAAGATGGTCCAAAAATTTCATCAAAAAATTCCACCGAGAATCACCCCAAATGGCGAAGGCCGGATGGAGCCTCATAAATAAGGCCTTATTTGACCTTTTTTGGTTAGTACGTGGCCTTATTTGCCCCTTTTCCCTTTTTATTTCAATAAAAGCAACAAAATGTTGCTTTTGAAAATGGAATAAGTGCTTTCATCAGTTTTCAAATATCTCCAAACAGGGCCATGGCTTATATGATCTTAAAATATAATCCTATTTGGTTTTACCTCCTATCCACTTGAACAGATTCAAGGAAAAAAGATAATTGGCAAAACCAATCATCATTTCCTAGGGAAAAACATAATCTAGATGGCAAAGAAAGAAACCTTGCGCTCTCCTATGCCAGGACAACGAGCAAGATCTTCCATGGACGCATCCATGATGTGAGAAAGAGACTGCAAATGAAGAAACATGTGGGCATTGCGACAAGTACTATCAGAAACATGTTAGCGAATTGATAAGCATACCCCAAATGTAGAGCCAAGGGTGACAACATCTGTCTTGTTGACATGCCGAATTGATGTGAGAGCATGATTTAGCTGCAATAAATAAGACACATAAGAACTTGTGTAAGACCGCCCCCCGCAGTGAGACAAATTTATTTGTCCTGAAAAAGCACTAACTTGAAACAAGAATGACTTTGGTTTCCAAGAGTATTCAATACTACTTGTAATGATAGAGATTAATAAAATTATTAGATTTAGTTCAAATGTGCTGCTTTTGAACAAAACAATTAAACAAAAAATCGCCTGGCAAGAGACCCACCCGGTAAGAAAGAAATTAGTGTTTTCAGATCCGATCTACAAAGCAATTCAAAATTATGGGCATTGAAGTTGGTAACCATTGTCATTTCTGAAAGAGTGACCCACAAAAGAAAAGATCAATGCCACACATACCCGAGATAGAAAGTCAGTATCCATTTGGCCTTGAATTAAATCAGCAGGCTTGTTTTCATAAACTTTGATTGTCTCCAAGTAACGTGCACATTCTTCCGAACTAAAGGAATGAAGTAATTCAACATCCTTAGTATCCAAATATGAAACTGCATTACCACACTACCTCAGATTGAAGAAACTAACATCATCATTAATGATATGCAGGAAAAATTATAAACAAATATAAAAAAGAGGAAATACTTCTTCATGATGAATTTATGTTTTAATTCTTCAAAAACAAGAATAAACTAATCAAAGTATGACAACAGGAATTCATTTATTGCTGCAAAAGTAAGGGGATAAGCATGAGATGGAAAAATCATCCAAGAAACTCCAAGGATATGTTTATAGCATCAATTGGAATTTGGAAGAGTACCTCCAAGCACATAAAAGGGTGCAATCATGGAGTAGGGCTGTCCTTGTAACTTCATGTAAAGGTTTAACAACATCTTCCTGGCACCACCAAAGGCAGTAATGAGCATGAAGCATTAATAGTCGGCCATATCAACACTAAGAAGATGCTAAAGGTAAAAACAGAGGCTGAGACTTACAACATCAACATGGCACAAAACAATACGAAGCCTGACGTTCTTCTGCAACTCCCTTATCCGAAAAAACAAATAGTCTGGATGAAGCAGATGATATCGAAGGCTACATGAAGGAGAACATTGTTAACAAACTACTTGAGCACAAGCTTGAAACATATGAATCGATAAAGATTACAAAAGTTTCATAATACCAGGTTACCAGCTCATTTCACATGCAAATTTTGGAGAACAAAGATAAGCTTATAGTCATATTGAATTTTGAAATGCAAACTTTGATAACTTAAACATCATATTTATTCAACCACAACACTAACTGGACTGCCATGCATCTATGGTAAATGAGTAAGTCCAGGTGTACATTTATACATCCCAACATGGCACGTGTTGATTGGATGGTGAAATGTAAAATATTTTTTACCCTAAAATCAAATTGTGAGATGTATGTATGGAGCTAAGAAATGTAGATAGCAAATGTACATGTATCCATAGTAATGGTATTGTGAACAAGTTTATTGGGATACGTTTTCATCACCCAATAACCATATGCCATCATTTCCATGTAGAGACGTACACAATTAATGAACTGAAAGAATGTGTACATAGAATAATACAAATTGGTAACATGAATTAATAGTTGGCAGCTCCAGCTCCAACCTAAGATATAGGGCACAAGCATTCTGCCCCAGTAGGTAGTCACAAACGACATCTGCAAACGTCCATCTAACATTCCGAATATGTTTCAGCACAGGATTTCCCTTCTGAAGAATTATAAGGAAAATACAAATTATAGATCAACAGATCAAATAATATAAAACCAACACAATCCATAGTAGTGATTTGTGTTTATCTTTAGTTCTTTACAGATCAGCATGGACAATGACCTCTATATCAGTTATTACTATTCATCATGCATATATCCAGATCATCTCTACTCTCTGGTACAAAGCAGGCCAGAATTGTGTTTGGGAAAAGAATCTAGTGTACTTTACTATTTTAATTTCAAATATTGTTAGGCAAGAGCAATCATTAATTCCTGATAATAATAATAATAATAATAATAATATATACAAGTTTGACTACAAAGTTTATACAAATTTGACTATTAAGTTTTCAGCACGGAACCACACCTACTCGTTCATTTGTTTCTAATACTGTAATGTACTGAAAAAAACTTTTCGGAATTTCCCATGCTTGAGGGTGAAAAAAACATTTTATTGAATGAATTTTTTTCCTTGATGCATTGCATTATAGTTATTGTTAAACGTTACATTACACCTAGAATAACAGCATTCTCCACACACACACACAAAATCCGTAACTAATTTTCCGTTAACCAAACAGAGTGTAGAATTACTATGTAGATATTTGATATCGAATCACATAGATGAGTTGTTTAATCAGGGCCACTAGATTAAAATAAAATCATTGGGGTAGATGGAGTGTCATAAGCTTGCTCATGGAGTTCATAGATCGGTGGACCCCTTGGTGGTATATTGCCATGCTATGGACAAACCTAGGATAACCAACTTGAGACTTTCAATTTTTATGTGAGACTTGATCCTGGGATCTCAAACTCAGTTGTATTGGTGGTCTAGATGGTCAAAACAACAGGGATTTTGGTTTAACCGTTGGTATATTGCATATTTACATCAAAAGTTGAGTTTGACTTTAGTAGTTGACTAGTTGGTTAGTTTTGAATGCTACAAGAGAATGCAGACAAGCACAACCTCGTAATATCATCAATTACAGTACACCGTAAAGATTGACTATCTTAGTACTCTGAAAAGCCAAAAACTCCACATTGGTTATATTTTTGGACTCACTCAACTGATTTTTCCTAATTCCACAATGAATTGAATATGGTGTTTCTGGTAGAGGATCTGGACTGCAATATAATTAGTTCCTGATGAATGCTAATAGAGGTATGATTTTCACGAATTCCTTTTATTAAATACTTACCTGCCTATGGCTAACAAGTATGGCATTTCGAGGGGGTGGAGCTGCAGCAGATAAAGATGATGGCCGCGTTTCTGATGAAGATGGAGCTTCTGATTCACTAGGTATCCTATAAAAAAACACTTATTTAGCTCCACTTTATTCACAAATACAGAATAAGAAATGCAATCCTTTCATGACTGCACTCCATAGAATTCTGACCATGAATCCAAATATGAGAGCGCGCTGGTTAATACACTGACCTCGAGGCAACGGTTTGTGAGACGGGAGGAGCATGTGAGGAAGGCGGAGAGTAGAACTCGGAATCCTTGACAAAACTGAAGGCTTGAGAGAATGAGCTACTGGGGTGGAAGAGAGAAGACGGTGCCGTTTTGGACTGAGAGGCTTCAAGGACATCCTGGTACGAGGGAATCTTGATCACAAACCCCTTCTTCTTCTTCTCGGCGGCGTCCTCTCCGCCCGGTTGTTTCTCTTCCCGCTCTTTGCCATCCATCTTCACTTTAACGTTAAGAAGATAAGGGCAATCACAAATTAAAGGAACCAACACAAATTAATGGTTTGTTCCGGCGCAGGGTAGATGAGTTTCTTGAGGAAGTGGTTTATACATATTGAAGGGAAAAGGGCAAAAACACCCTTAAGTTGTCAACAAGGAAGATCTAGAGGAAATTATCAATTCACGGGATTTTTGGGACTGACAAGCCAAACGGGACTTCAGTTTAGGTTACCGATTTACGGGAGTCGGATTCTCCAATTCCGACAGCAGAAAACAAAATAAAAAAAACACCTAGTCGGAATTGTGTAATCCGACTAGGGGGGTGTTCGAAATTTTTAAAAGTTTCCATTATTTAATCCGAAGGAATTAAAAAAAAATACAAAAACCTAGTCGGAATTGTGTAATCCGACTAGGGGGTGTTCAATTTTTTTTTTAAAGTTTCCATTATTTTATTTGTGTAATCCGAAGGAATTAAAAAAAAATACAAAAACCTAGTCGGAATTGTGTAATCCGACTAGGGGGTGTTCGAATTTTTTAAAAGTTTCCATTATTTTATTTGTGTATTCCGAAGGAATAAAAAAAAAAACCTAGTCGGAATTGTGTGATCCGACTAGGGGGTATTGGTATATTTTGTTTGCTTTGATTTGTGTTCAATCATCTAATATATTTTGGTTTGAAATAAAACTAAAAAAACAAATTTATCCCTGTCGGAAATGCTAAATCCGACCAGGGGATGTGTTTTAGAAATTTTATTTTTTTTTATTTTAAGAAATTTTATGAAATTTTAAGAAATTTTATAAATTACCCTATATTTTGTTTTATTCTAAGAAATTTTATATATTAAATTTTAGGGAAAAGTACGGAAAAGGTACTTGTGGTTGGGCTTATTTTCAGATAGCTTCATGTGTTTCGTTCTTTATCAAAGTGGTTCATATGTTTGAATTCCGTTATCAGAAGAGGGTCACGCCGTTAAAAACTTCTGAAAAATACCGTTAAAAGTAACTCCCATTTTCAAAAGTGTCCAAAAAATTAAAAGAAAAATACCGAAAGGTGCGCCTCAATAAGACGACCGCTAGGCCATATTTCTTTTTTGTTTTTAGCCATTCGTGTCACCGGAAAGTCTATCGTAAATGTGATATTAGCGAAATCATTTTTAAAAAATAATTCAAATAGATCTGAAAATTCCAAAGGCGAAGGTGGTTTGGAGGTCATCTTGACGAGGTGCACCTTTCAGTATTTTTCTTTTAATTTGTTGGGCACTTTTGAAAATCGAAGTTACTTTTAACGGTCTTTTTCAGATGTTTTAAACGGCGTGACCCTCTTGTGATAACAGAATTCAAACACATGAATCACTTTGAAAAAGAGTGAAACACATGACCCTATCTGAAAACGGGTCAAACCACAAGTACCTTTTCCGTACTTTTTCCTAAATTTTATAAATTAAATTGTTATTTAGAAGTATTTATTTTACTAATTTTTAACTGATTCAATTAGATAAGTTCACATATTTGATGCGTTTAAGTAATTTTTAACTCATTCAATTAGATAAGCTCACATTTTATATATTTATTTTTTGTAGTATATAATATTATTGAAATTTATGAATGTATCTATTTTGTACAGTGATAAACTCGGGTAAAGAGTCAGACGACCCAGACTGAATGCCTCGATGACATGGTGCTTTGGTCCTGGAAGGCGGTTTGCATAGACCCGACCCTTTGCACTTGGCATATCCAAGCAGCAGAAGCTATGACTTCAACAAAGTGGAAAGTAAAAAAATATCAACGCATCAAGGTGTCTCATTTGATCATCCACGGCCATATTATGATTCTTATCAATACTCCACACAGGCGGATGATTATGTTGAGTTATTTCTGAATTCGTCGTTGTATTATGGAGACACAACGGGACTTAGAACACTGGCGGCGGGGATGGAGCAGGGCCGAGCACGCAAAGTTAGATGTAGTAGTAAATTTAATATCGTATGGACTGTCTATTCATTAATAAATTATTGTCTATTCATTGTTTTGTTCACGTCCAATAAAATTACAAAAATTGCACTTAAATCCCATTCAAATTTGTTTCTCATTTTACGAATGCCCCTCAGTGGTCCAACCATTAAGGGTAAGGCTCAGTGGATCGACCTGTGCACTCAGTCGTGTGGTTTCACTCCTCTACAGACCGATATGCGCACGAGTGATATCACCATGAGTGCTGTTACCCGTCACCGGATCCTAGATGACAGTACAGACGAAGAGGTCACCCAACACACCAGGACCCTAATATGGCAATTGCTTGGAGGGTTTTTGTTCCCTGACACGAGTGGGGCAAGAATACGATTGTACTTTTTGGAGGTCTTGCAGGGTGACTTGGCTTTAGCCCGTCGATGGAGTTGGGGATCAGCGGTTCTCGGGTACCTCTACCATAACTTGTGCAACGGCGCGATGTGGGAAACCAAACAAGTTGGCGGTTGTATGCACTTGTTACAGATTTGGGCTTGGTCGAGGATTTCGATGGTCCGTCCCTCAGCACTTCAGGTCATTCAACATGACCATCTTCCATATGGGTGCAGGTATGTTGGCAATTACATCTTAATAATTGAGAATGCTTTATATGACGTTACATTTTTTAACTTCATATCGATAATCAATAAATGTAGGTGGATCGTCCCCAAGTCATTTTTTAAATTGCAAATTAAACTTTTTACAGTTTGATTTCACTCCCTACGCGTCTGAGATACTCCCACCTCTCATCCTTAATGATGCTCCGCTTTGGTCGGCTAGGGTCATGCTCATATTTTGCAATATGGCCGAAATGCATTACCCCGATCGATTTCTTCGGCAGTTCAGTATAAGGCAAGACATTCTGAATGCTCCTTTGCCGAGTACTGATCATCACGGAAATCGTTCCAACATAGTAACCGGTGCCTTGGCGATGTGGGCGGACATACAACATAATATATACGTTCTTGATTATGATCGACATATGTCCCTCGAAGCAACTAATAGGTACCGAAAGTGGTACAAGAAGCATGGTATGACACGTGTCCAGAACCCTTCTCACAATGTGCCCACGACAGGCTACATCCCGACAAAACATGATTGGGGTATTGTGGTAAGTTTTTGAATACATACCATATTCGCTACCATATATCGTGTCATATTATTTACACGTGTTACATTTTTATGTAGAAGCAAGGCGTTCACGAGGATGATTATGTTGAGTCATTTCTGAATTCGTCTTTTTACTATGGAGACACAACGGGGCCTTGGAACACTGGCGGTGGGGACAGAGCAGGGCCGAGCACGCAACATTAGATGTAGTATTAAATATAATATTGTATGTACTGTCTATTCATTAATAAATTACATTGAAAACTACATTTGTTTTGTTCACTTCCATTAAAATTACAAAAAAAAATTCACTTAAAACAAAATCAAATTTTTATCTAATTAGACGAATGGAGTAAATCAAAATTGCACTTAAAATTACAAAAATTGTAATTAAAACAAAATTCACAATACAAATGGATTAAAAAACAATTTAAAGCAATCAATTGTTTTCTTACTAAAAAAATCATAATGATAAGTTTTCATTTTAAAAAATATGTCATGAATCTAAAAATAAATTTAAATTTGGAATTGATATAACTTAGCCCTAACACTTTTTATTTTTTACGAACTCAAAATCAAAAACAAAATTCAAAAATAAATAAATAAATAAATAAATAAAATCTAGTCGGAACTCACTAATCCGACTAGGGGAGGAGTATTTAAAACCCAAGTCATTTTTTTAATTTGCAAATAAAAATTAAAACCTAGTCGGAACTCCCTAATCCGACTAGGGGAGGAGTTTTTTTTAACCCTAAAACCTAGTCGGAACACCCAATTCCGACTAACGCTTTTTGGTAAACCCTAGAAAAATCCCCGTATTTTGGCAACCCAATCTCATCTTTCCCGTCTTTTGGTAAATCTCCCGAAGATCTATGCCCATAAACTTAATTTTTAGGCAAAAATATCCAACAAACTTGGATAGAGAGCAAAAAACCCCTTCCCTAAGGGAGTGTTTGCAATAGCTTAAAAAAGGCATTTATCAGCTTTTGGCTTAAAAAGCACTTATTTATCAAACACTTCCAATTTTTACTTTTTCTCGGCTTGCGTGTGAAAAGTGCTTTTCTCTTTTTTACTAGATTCTCACCCGTGCGTTGCACGGGATATATATTCAGTAATAGCTACTCCCTCCGTCCCAATTTGATGATCCCATTTCTTTTGAGCTCAAAGATTAAGGAAGTGGTTGAAAAAGTAAAAGTTGTGGTTGAGATTTGAGTAGAAAAATGTGAAATGATGTGGACCACATATTTCTTTCCAAAAAGGGAAATAGGACTATCAATTTGGGACGACCCAGAAAGGAAATACGGGATCATCAAATTGGGACGGAGTATAACATATGATTTGTTAACATTATTAGTTAGCACGTAGATGCATGCCCAAAGAGTACATTTTGAAAGATGGATAAGGAATAATAATGGATAAGGAAAAGATGGTTACATCTAAAAAATGGTACGAAGTATGTTTTGAAATAAAAAAGAAAAAAATATAATAATAAGGTTTCCGCAGCAAGCACATTTTGAAATGCTTTCCAGTAAACAACATTGGTCGTATGCTCAATTTGTTCATCAAATTCACCTTAAATTTCATTTATCAATTGATATTTCTTTTAGTCATACTCAGGAAAGTTTCTGTAAATGACATTATAGTAAAAATATTAATAAATAATACACTACTAATATTCAACCAAAATATTAATCATAATAATATTATACTTATAATAACAACAATAATAATCATAACATTAATAATGAGAAATATTATACTCCCTCCGCTTCTTAATAATCCATTGTACTTTGCCTACTTTCCATTTTTGGTTATCCCAAAAAACTTTGCCGCTTTCTTATTAAAGTAACTAATTTGTTATTCTGCACATTTCTCTCTCCTCTGCACAAATCTCAACTACACAGTTTTTACTATTCTTATTTCTCACCTACTTTGCACTTGGCAAAATCCACCGGGACAGAGGTAGTACTGTTTTTACTTGGACTTATTTCAGTCTAAATCCATACCA